AGTAGTAGTAGTAGTAGTAGTAGTAGTAGTAGTAGTAGTAGTAGTAGTAGTAGTAGTAGTAGTAGTAGTAGTAGTAGTAGTAGTAGTAGTAGTAGTAGTAGTAGTAGTAGTAGTAGTAGTAGTAGTAGTAGTAGTAGTAGTAGTAGTAGTAGTAGTAGTAGTAGTAGTAGTAGTAGTAGTAGTAGTAGTAGTAGTAGTAGTAGTAGTAGTAGTAGTAGTAGTAGTAGTAGTAGTAGTAGTAGTAGTAGTAGTAGTAGTAGTAGTAGTAGTAGTAGTAGTAGTAGTAGTAGTAGTAGTAGTAGTAGTAGTAGTAGTAGTAGTAGTAGTAGTAGTAGTAGTAGTAGTAGTAGTAGTAGTAGTAGTAGTAGTAGTAGTAGTAGTAGTAGTAGTAGTAGTAGTAGTAGTAGTAGTAGTAGTAGTAGTAGTAGTAGTAGTAGTAGTAGTAGTAGTAGTAGTAGTAGTAGTAGTAGTAGTAGTAGTAGTAGTAGTAGTAGTAGTAGTAGTAGTAGTAGTAGTAGTAGTAGTAGTAGTAGTAGTAGTAGTAGTAGTAGTAGTAGTAGTAGTAGTAGTAGTAGTAGTAGTAGTAGTAGTAGTAGTAGTAGTAGTAGTAGTAGTAGTAGTAGTAGTAGTAGTAGTAGTAGTAGTAGTAGTAGTAGTAGTAGTAGTAGTAGTAGTAGTAGTAGTAGTAGTAGTAGTAGTAGTAGTAGTAGTAGTAGTAGTAGTAGTAGTAGTAGTAGTAGTAGTAGTAGTAGTAGTAGTAGTAGTAGTAGTAGTAGTAGTAGTAGTAGTAGTAGTAGTAGTAGTAGTAGTAGTAGTAGTAGTAGTAGTAGTAGTAGTAGTAGTAGTAGTAGTAGTAGTAGTAGTAGTAGTAGTAGTAGTAGTAGTAGTAGTAGTAGTAGTAGTAGTAGTAGTAGTAGTAGTAGTAGTAGTAGTAGTAGTAGTAGTAGTAGTAGTAGTAGTAGTAGTAGTAGTAGTAGTAGTAGTAGTAGTAGTAGTAGTAGTAGTAGTAGTAGTAGTAGTAGTAGTAGTAGTAGTAGTAGTAGTAGTAGTAGTAGTAGTAGTAGTAGTAGTAGTAGTAGTAGTAGTAGTAGTAGTAGTAGTAGTAGTAGTAGTAGTAGTAGTAGTAGTAGTAGTAGTAGTAGTAGTAGTAGTAGTAGTAGTAGTAGTAGTAGTAGTAGTAGTAGTAGTAGTAGTAGTAGTAGTAGTAGTAGTAGTAGTAGTAGTAGTAGTAGTAGTAGTAGTAGTAGTAGTAGTAGTAGTAGTAGTAGTAGTAGTAGTAGTAGTAGTAGTAGTAGTAGTAGTAGTAGTAGTAGTAGTAGTAGTAGTAGTAGTAGTAGTAGTAGTAGTAGTAGTAGTAGTAGTAGTAGTAGTAGTAGTAGTAGTAGTAGTAGTAGTAGTAGTAGTAGTAGTAGTAGTAGTAGTAGTAGTAGTAGTAGTAGTAGTAGTAGTAGTAGTAGTAGTAGTAGTAGTAGTAGTAGTAGTAGTAGTAGTAGTAGTAGTAGTAGTAGTAGTAGTAGTAGTAGTAGTAGTAGTAGTAGTAGTAGTAGTAGTAGTAGTAGTAGTAGTAGTAGTAGTAGTAGTAGTAGTAGTAGTAGTAGTAGTAGTAGTAGTAGTAGTAGTAGTAGTAGTAGTAGTAGTAGTAGTAGTAGTAGTAGTAGTAGTAGTAGTAGTAGTAGTAGTAGTAGTAGTAGTAGTAGTAGTAGTAGTAGTAGTAGTAGTAGTAGTAGTAGTAGTAGTAGTAGTAGTAGTAGTAGTAGTAGTAGTAGTAGTAGTAGTAGTAGTAGTAGTAGTAGTAGTAGTAGTAGTAGTAGTAGTAGTAGTAGTAGTAGTAGTAGTAGTAGTAGTAGTAGTAGTAGTAGTAGTAGTAGTAGTAGTAGTAGTAGTAGTAGTAGTAGTAGTAGTAGTAGTAGTAGTAGTAGTAGTAGTAGTAGTAGTAGTAGTAGTAGTAGTAGTAGTAGTAGTAGTAGTAGTAGTAGTAGTAGGAAGACAAGGAGGAGGAGGAGGAGGAGAAGAAGGATTAGAACTGCTTTGTTTAGTTTTAGACATAAGCTTTGTATCTGCTAACATCTGAATAATTTTCATCTGCTGCTCGAGTAATTACTCAAGTTTAGTAGGATCCATATTTCCGAAACCACCGTCGCCAAATTTGCTAGGTTTGAAGCTATCACTAGTTCACTTAATCGGCGAACGAGAACAAGACTCGGTGACCAAAGAACAGTAATCTAGCTATTGATGCGTCCCAGCCCCGGTAACTAGGGGGAAAAGTCCAAGCTTGGAATGGGAATTATATTCTGCAAAACAGCCAGAAACGTGCGATAACAAAAAAAACACAATTCAAAACGTATATATTCAGTGCAAAATCGTCCTTGGGGAGAGTTACCAACGGACCAATAGCATTTAAGATTCGTCCGTGTGGGAAATATGACATGAAGGTGACAAGAGCGCCTTTGGCGCAAAAACAAAGAAATTCAAATTTTCTAAATAAAATTACAAAATTAGGTTCTTTTCCAAGTGAGTTCTGGGGATCTAACGTCCCCAACATGTATATGATATGTTGTTTTGGTCTCCCGTCTAGTATAATGCTCTATGTTACATGTAGAATATACTGATGACTTTACCTCTTTGAATTGCATTAACTCGACAATAAAACTTAAAGATTCTCTATAAAAACCGACATGATCTGATTAACAGTGGGACAAAATAGTTTAATTGAAGTAAACAGGCATTATAACAACCAGTGTTAGTTACAGTGAGAAATTAATGAACCAAATGATTAGAAATGCTTTTACTGTTTAATTCACAATGCAATGTGGAATACACAACTTGTGTCTGAAGTAAGTTAGTAACAAAAAATGAGTGACGGTATGATACACACAGAGGAAAAGTAATATTAAAGTAGTGAACCGTTTTGTAAATCATAATATAGAAATAAAATAGATAAAGTTAATTAATACAACTAATTATTAACTGGGTAATGACCACTGTCAGGTTTGTCTAGTCTTTTTTGTACTTTACGAGTTCTGTCGATCAAATGGAAATATGGTCACAAACCTAAAAGACTCAACACCGTGAGCACTATGTTAAAGTGTTAGGTGGTTAAAGATACTCGGCAGGAAACCATAAGCCTAGATTTCTCATCAGTTAACATCCGTTGGCAATCGGTAGAATTCGGTCAGCACTAAAAAGAACTAAATAAACATGACAGTGGTAATCAAATTTAAATATCACAATACTACGCAAAGTCAGCTGCTGCTCGAATAACGTCTCAGGTTGTAAAGCTGAGTGACACGAGATCGTAGGTACGTTTTGTTGACAAGTGACAACTAGTAAAAATCCTAGGCTTAGGCGATTAGCTGCAAGATATTCAGCAAACCACTTTTCCTAAGATTTTCTTGAAAATTTAACAGAATATATCTTCCAAGTTTGTACCGAACACTATATTTATTTTTGTCTTTGATTCCTTTATATGAAATTAAATTGACAGAGGATTTTCATTACTTCTGAGGGACGTTTTCTAGTTAATACACTTCGATAGAAACTTAATTACTGTTTTAATAAATCAACGGTAATATCTTTAATTGTGGTGCTTGCTGATTGACATACACTGTAGAGGCCGGTACTACGTCAAGCTCTCATAGGTTATTCTAGCCTCTGGACAAATCAATCTGTTCATTCTTCTCAAGCCACATTTCTACCTTGTCACGTATTTACTTATTAACCTGTTTTTATATAATTGCATGTGTGTTAATTACTTACCTCATTCATCATATGTCTGTAACGTCGTTTTGGTCTGACTATAAATATTGAGTCACTGTTGGTTAAATCGAATTGGCTCACTCGCCTTCTCCACCGCGCGTCATTTCATTTTGCTTCTCTCTCTCTCCTCTTCTCTTTACCGCGTCTCATTCTGATTCTGTATCTGCATAAACGAATACCTGAAATAAATTGCCCCAACGCCACCAGTACTTGGCTTCTTACTACCGCTGTCATACAAACGGGGTAGCCTATGTAATATATGGAGTTAAATGGAAGATTTTTATTCATAGTATATTCATACGTTCATGCAAATTGGAGTCAGATCAGTCGGCACCAAAACATCAGACTTCATGTTTAATATCAATTTCAACAGAAACTACAAAGGAACGTCAAGTAAATTAACTGATAAACTTAACTAAAACCTTAATGGTAGATGGAAATCAACTACAAAGTTAAATTGTTAGATACTAAAATGAATTACATTTCTCACGTAACATTCATTTATCTGAGTACATAAATAGAAGTTCAATTAAAAACACATGATTATTGAAGAATTATTTGAACTTATGGGTCACCTACTTTCAAATTATGCAAACACTGTAATTGAATCTTTTTAGACTAACTAATTATTTATGTCAACTTTCTATACTCACATACTTCTATAAAAACCTTATAACCTACAGTAAAGTTAAATATATAAAAATTAAATGATACTACCTCCCCCCCCCAATGATTTAGTTATCCTTTGCAATAATGACAATCGATTGTAATAGAATTTTCGAATCAAAATATATTAATCAATATAGAAAGATTTTATAAGATCAAAACTACTTGAAAACATTTGAGTAGGGGATGAATCTGTGCAGAAAAAAATATTTTCATATATATATTCATTACATCCATTGAATATATTAACGTGGATTTGTTTAAATATTGTACATATTTTAAAACACGAATTTCAGCGAAGGGATCTCTTTTCAACGAATTTATTATCAAGCTGTACAATCGTATATAGATGAAAATTTTTGTTTTTGTAAAAGTACTAATTCCGTGAGGAACAAAAATTTTCATCTATATACGATTGTACAGCTTGATAATAAATTCGTTGAAAAGAGATCCCTTCGCTGAAATTCGTCTTTTAATTTTAATGTTTAAATGGGTACATATTTTACTGAAAATCTCTATGTAATCAACTATATAGTGCTGAATTAAAACGATTATAATAATCATTGAAGTTTACTTACTTTTTATTAGTTCTGCTACTTTCATCCATGATTCTTGATCATGAATCCACTGATTAGTTGAATCATCATTGAATAAAATTGGTGGATGTTTTAATAAACTTAAATCGAAATTTACTAAATATGTTGGTTGTTTTAAGAAAATTATTAAAATTCTTTCAGTCCATGATTTTTTAGCTGTTAAAAATACAAGAAATCTTGGATAAATACAATTTAAACATGATGCATTTTGACCAGATACAATGAGTAATGCATATTCAGAATGTGTTAAAAATCTCTCTTCAAATGAATTGAATGAATTATGCAAAAATGCTTCACCACGTTGTCTTGGCCAAAATACATTTAAACCATATTTATTCTCTGTATATTCAGTTAAGTATTGTGCAAATAATATTGCTTCATTATCTTCACAATCAGTATTTGGTATGGACGTTGGTAATAGTGTCCATGATGTAAGGAGAGTAAATTTAAATTTCATGATTAAATTAATTAACTCTCCTTACTTTTTTGTTGAGGTGATAGTTAGCAACAACAACAAAAAACTAGTCTATTTATTTATTTTCTTTATTGTGAATAGATTTCTTGTAGAACAATTGAGAATCTAACAAAGTGTATGATTCTTTTCATTCTTTTCTAAACCTTATTCATTTATATCATTATTACACAATAATCAACTGAATAAAATAAACTTCTTTTAGTTCAACGAAAAAACTAATCCCCAATTATGAAATGTGACAGTTACTACATTGGTGAATATGTGAATATTTTAAGAATAGTAAATTTCGAATAATTTCTGGATAACACCTACACTCAATAAATCAGTCATTTTGATTGGTCAAATAGTTCCAAGGTCACATCTGCAAATCAATAATTTTTATTCAACAGATGTGATTGTACTTTTAAAATGGTGTTCTTTCAAATAAAGACTTTTAATATTTCAAGTGACTTATCGTCAGATCTCTCAGCTGGCTGCAGTTCTGCTTTCGAATACATTTTATTTTGTAGACGAATTATGGTTGATGTCAGTTCGGGATGAAAGCTCTAACCCGAAACGCACAAGCTTAAATAAGAATAATGTAAGGACGCCTAAAAATATATTTGGCTACTTTTGAAAGAAAGATAATCACTACCATGTAAAAGAATTTATGACCGAGACTATAATTTATGGACAAACCAATGATATATAACAAGTCTGGGATTTTGGCGCGAAATCCATTCATCCATTTGGCTATATAGCATTTTGGCATTTTAGTTTATGTCAGTTCGTGATGAAAACCGAAAATCTAATTCCTGACCCTAACCATCAACTCTAAATCCTTATTCTAATCCCTCATACTGGTTTCTAACCCTCATTGAGCTATGCTTGGTAGGTGGACATTCTCTAAGTCAATTCAGCGTCACTCAAAGGTCGTGCATAAGTCCCAGTCTCACCGATTCATGATTTTTTTCAATTAACAGGCAGAGCAACCTGTGAATGACCATACTAGATTTATTAAACACGCAAAATCCGCCATTATTTGGTAACATTCTGTTTTCCTTGTCCAGGCACCACCCACTTACGAAGTATGCTTACTGATTGCCTAAGGATTGGTCGAAAAATTCATCACGGTTTTGTCAACCTCATCAGTAAATTAAAATCGGATGAGAATAAACTCCACTACCATTCATAATTTTGATCCTGCATGTGGTAGCCAACCAAACTGAAGCGGGAATTATCATTCACACAATCACAGCCTATGATGAAGGGCGTGTTTTGCTCTCCATCGTTTTCGCTGGCTTACATGAAAGATGTAGAGTTTTCTAAGATGAAAATACCACTCCATCATTCTATGGATATGCCGAGTGTATGGCAGACAGTCATGATGGGAGAAAAACCACAACATAGCAAAAGACACACCTCCTATTAATTCTATGATAGAAATTATCCCAAAATATCTACAAGTGTGTGACTAAATAAACGAAAACATAACCTCAATTCCTGATTAAACTTAGTTGACTTGGAAACGAGATGTTTATCCTCAACCCTAAACTTACCCGTTAATGAACAATTGTTCGAGTTTGACAATCAGAACACTAGGAGGGACAGCCAGATATTACCTATTTTTCTAAATTATATTCAAACATAAAATCTCACATGACTGATAATAAAATATAAGAGTGCAAGCATCACAAACAATAAACCTTAATATATCCAATAACTATAACATTATTGTTACATATCTGTGTGACATTTTAGTGATTAATTCACTGCTATTTATAAGCTGTCAACAATATAACAACAACTGATGATTCAAATAAAAGCCTATATTTATAAAAATTCAAAAAAAAAACCATAAACTAAGTAGTTAAAAATATGTATCCTGATTCTCCTTGAGAATAACTTTTAGGGTTTTACATTTTCACTGATTCCCTTACTACTAACATTCATTTATCTAGACATTAACATAAACACGGACTGTTTTATGTAATTTTAAAATATGTAGTTACAAATAGTAACGTAGGCATTTATTTGGTCAATGTGTTCGGTTACGTTTCACTAATGAGTAACAAACTTGAAATCTAGTCTATGAGGTTTTTGTAGACTGTTTACTGACTTAACAAAAAGATAGATGCTTAACTAATCCGTGATTTCCCCTGTTTAATAAACCTTATTAATTTTCTTTTTGTATACTAACGGTATTAACTTACGTTTTAGAAAAGGATAATCCTTATCGAGACAAATAGCTTGCTCGTTCTGATTTTGGCCAAAGTAAGACTGTAATTTCGACAGTTTAGTACTGTGTCCGTAGAAAATTAGGTCCGTAACAAATTGAAAGTAGCTTAAGAAAGTACAATCCATAACAACAATTTATGCATCAAACGAAAACTTGCAGCTAAGGGAATACAACAATACAATAATCGAAGTATTTTCTAATAATACAATGAAAATATAAACAACGATTTAAGATAGAACAGTTCTGAAAGTTTGACTATTCTCAGTGTTTACCTCGTTATATCACTTCCAAACTCATAACTTCAAATAAACTATTACAACCAGGAGAAACGTGAATGATCATTGGATGTTTTTTGACTTATATTTTCGTCCTTAACTATGCATTTGTTAACTGATAAACAATTCAAACTTAACTAAATCGGTTTTACTCCTTTATTAATCAGTGTTTTACCAAGCCGACTAAGCCATCATAACGTTTGTATTATCAGAGCTCTAATTTATTAGGCTAAGGTAATGATGTAAATTACAGAATATAACTAAAATTAGTTTTTAAATTACAACTGATGACAGTTGTCATTCAACTATAACAATGGAACATACACCTACAATTGATTATGATATGTGTAAACGAAATATCAGAATTACCCCACTACTTTAGAAAACTCCTTTAATCATTATGTAATATATACATATATGATACATACATGATACTTCGAAAACTTAAATGGTTATTTAACATTTTAGTCCATTGACTAGTGGAACAGAAGTTTCTCTACTTGAGATTTGGATTCATGCTACTTTCATGGTCTGAATAATTCCATTGGTAGTTCATTCCATTGATAAACCAATCACCATGAGACATTCAATCATTGTTAGATTGGTTAAAAATCTTGTTATTTTTTGTTAAATAACTTTTCGCAGTTACAGCTAAAATGATATTTACAATTGATTGATCACTGGGTGGTGATCAATGTCATGTATGTCAAGTCCTTCGTAGTGCATATCGAATCCTATCAACAAAGTCGTAATGTGGCCACCAGTTTAGAGGAATCGGCATCGCGTGCACTATGTTAAGATAAAATGGTGATTGGAGCTCGTCAACAGGAAACCTTAGACCTAGGTTTCGTACTACTTGGTACTCGTCAGCAATATATACCTGTAGTCTTAAGGGAACTGATGCTCCCCAACGGATTCCATCCAGTGTTACCAAGGTCCAGGGTTTCCTGTTGACTACCTTCCGTCACATTCTTAGCTCAAATAATATGTTTCGACATTCCCACTGCTCTACCACTAGTCCTACCCACCAATAATTAAGATCTCCACCACATTTATACAGTACCCAACTAAGGTGGTTTGTTTACCTATTTTGAGGTATACAGGCTAGAGTGAGTTCCATTTTCTTACATTGATGGGATCGAGAATGTTGTGTTGTTCGCCATTACTTCCATCCATTAGTTTATTTTACATTCCGTTATACCTCAACAAAATGTTTATAAATATATCAAAAGTCGTATAGCAAACTCTTTACCGCAGGCTACATCTGTTCGAATATCAAATACTTTGTAGAATAATTAAACTACAGTTGATTGAAATCCATTATTCTATCTATCCCTCAAGCAATCGAACATTAAAAATACAAATAGTAAGAGAAAACTAAATGAGACTGAGACTGTAGTACTTGGATCAAAATTAGTGATGAAGTCTCGAAATAAAACAAACACCGACCAAGTAATTCATGAGTTTTAGCAGCTCTTCAGGTGATTTCAATTTAATGATGAACATTAACTTCATAATGTTAGAAATTATAACAAAAGTTTTCGGCTTAATTTAATTCATTACCATATTTTAATATTATCTTATATCCTTAATAGTGAATAGAAATTTCTCCTAAAAATCGATCGAGGTGTTCGTAATCGTTAGAGGTTGGCTGGATATTATTCTTCACGCAAATATTTTTGCCGAAGTTATGCTGGAAGATAAATTTAGTTGATTTACTGTTCTTTTAATCGTACAGAAATGATTGATTTAACATCAGTTTAATTAACCTGACAAGGTCAACAAAATCTATGAATTATGTATGACGTAAACGCACCTTGTAAGTATGGAAATATTTTGTATTTCTTCAGGAACCTACCTTGATTAAGAGGTAAACATGTTGTCCATTAGTTTTCATCACTAAAAAGAAGTCAACAAGCTGTACAAATACCCATGCTTACAAGCGTCCTATCAGAACACTAGAAGCTCAGATAAGTGGAAACATGTACTTTTATACTTTAGACTCATAATTCACGTCGTTATAAAAATAGATTACACAAACAGTTTATCACATATAGTGTTTTTAAATGGTTACTTAATTAGAATACTTATGATACAAAGTGAATAATAGATTCATAATTGATTAACTATACGTTCTGAATGGTAAGAGATATATCATATTATCTTCATTTGTGCCTATCAAATTATATGTACGTGCTCAAATAAATACATTAGAGGAATAGAAATAATGCTTACTATTTGACTTAGTATGGGACTCCTCAGCACTGCACACCCATGACCCCGCACGCGGGATTCGAACCAAAGGCCTCTGGTCCCATGAGTGGACAGTTGACCTCTATACCACTGAGCCTGCATCCAGCGATGCTAATGTCTAACTTCAACCAATCCACGAAATTACTAATAATAGTAAAGATATAAAATGACACTGAAGCTCAAAACTTCAGAGAACGTAAATAACAGCTGTGACTGTACTACAGCAGTTCATTTTG